TTCAGAGATGGCGCTAGTAGTGGGCGCCTGAAACTATACTGTTCCGCATGACATCAATTTACAGCGGATGGCGTCTGCGCGGCAAGCCGCGGACGGGAACGCTGCTTTCCATTCCCGTCCAGAGATGGCGCTAGTAGTTAGCGCCTGAAAGCATACTGCTCCGCACGACTCGAGACGTAGCCGGGCGCCCGTCGAGTTTTGGGAATCGCTTTCAATTACTCAGCATAAGTGAGCAACATAGTTTTTCAGCACAATCCGGTTCCCTTAACCCGGCACCGCCTGGGCTATTTCCGTACCCACGACAGCCGGGGGGGGGGGGTCGGATCCGACCCCCCCCCCTGTTATCTCGAGAACCAATGGTCGTATCGAGCCCCACGAGGCGGCGTTCGAAAGGTCTCTACGAGACCTTCCCAAAGCACTCTTAAGATTTTAAGATTGAGGTCAACTTTCGGGTCAAGGTCAGGTCAAAGGTCAAATTCAGGGGTTTTGCATGAATCGGCTTACGGAGAGCGGAATCGATAGCTGCTGCTCGAAACTCACCAAAAATGACCTCAAAGGCCTAGTGAAGGTACCATGTGCGTATAGGGGTCATACTAGGTACAGGTCAAGGTCAGGTCAGGTCACGAAAGGTCACGGTTTTCACTTTCTGCTACATGGGCGTGCGACACATGTTTTATGGCTTATTTTTCACGCCGAATCCGATGGTAATGGTTATATGTGACCCCAAGTCACTGTGCTGGTGATAAGTGTGCATTGAAAGCAAAAAAAAAAATCGTTTATACTATACATAACTAAACGAGGGCTAAGAAAAAAAGGTTAATTTTTCAACTTTTTATTTTTGACATAAAAATGCACTTTTCTAGACGAGCTTTGTCCCAGGAATCTAGTGGTGCCCTTTGTTTTCACATGCGATGTTCAGAAGTGCCTCTAATTCACGAAAATGCTTATGACGTCACCATGCCCTATGCATGTTGGAGCTATTTTTTTACAATTTGGGGGTCAAAAATCAAGATAGAAAGTTGAAATTTGGGGCATATACTGTTCTAATAGAGCTCTACAACATATATTCCGGTTTTTTGGAAATTCCCAAAATTTTGGATTTTATTAGCTGTTTTCCAAAAAAATATAGTTTTTTGAATTTTTAGGGGTGAAAAACGCATTTTATGGAAAATCCGAGCTGGCCATTTTAAAGAACTCGTTGAGCTGCGTCTTTTGATGTCCTTAATTTGCAAATTGCTTCAAACCCTGATTTTTGGCGTTTTTTTAAACATTTACCACTTTTTGACTAAAAACGCCATGTAGTTACATCACTAAAATCGATATATCTCAAAAATTTTTGGAAATTTTTTCTTAAAAATTGCACAGGAGACGTCAAATTGATGGGGGAGAAGGTATGCCAAGTTTCAAGTAGATAGCGAAAGTGGTTCATGAGTTATTCAAGAAAAACGGAGGGGGGGTCGGATCCGACCCCCCCAGGCGGTCGCGGGTTAATCAACCTTTCAATACATTTGCAGAGCATTCACCACAAAAGGCACCATCCAGGAACATTTTCACTCGTAACTTGCACATTAGAGATGCCACAAATTTGCAATTTCATTACCCGCCCCGCCCCGCAGCTACCCCTTGCCCAACCACAACTACCCGCAAACTGATTTTGGCTGAGCCGAACCCGCAAAAAACCCGCAATTTTAAAAACCTGCTTTTTCAAGAAAAAAAATATAGCTGGGTCAATGCTAGAGCTATATAAACCTTACTTGCTTCATTGCTGTGCAGAAAAAGACAGCCAAACAAATAGTAAGGACTTGAAATTGCTATGCTAAGTCCTCAGGAAGCGCACACTGGATAGTGGAAAATGAATAATGCATCAATACATTTGAAATTCCTTTCTGAAAAAGAGTTCAGTAAAATCTTTCTCTCACCTTACCCTTCAGCATTGGCTGAGGATCAAAATTTCACTCTGGCTCCCTCTCAATGTTAGGCTTCTGCAATGATATTGCTATCAAAATGAATGTTGATATAAAAGATATGCGATTTCCAGTTAAAAATAAATAGTGACACGGTGAATAATGAGTATCCACTCGATCTACATATAAAAACAAATCATGCAAAATCCCAGCAAAAACCAGCTCAAGCTAACCACCAATGAACCACGCATTTCTGGAAACATGCGTCAGAAGCGTCACCAACAGCTGATTGCAAGGAATGCTACAGCGACTAAATTATTGCGGCCGTAGTTAGTGCGAGCTTGTTGCGAAAACACCGTTGTATAATGCATATTCATGTGCCATTCTGATAAAATTATTTTACACAACAGCTAAAGTTTTACAATTCAGAGGTTAATCACCGGTTAAGAAATAAAGACTACGTTTCCATGGGCATCACTGATCCGGATCAGTAAAAATGGATTAGCTAATCCAGTATAGTTAGACAATATATGAAAATGAAAGTAAGGGATTAACTGGTTATATAAGCCTAATCCACTTTGAATTATATCATGTAACGAAGAGTTCGAGAAATATTATACGATTTAAATTTGCTGATCCGGATCAGTGATGCCCATGGAAACGGGGTCATAGAAACAGTAAATACTAAATTAAATGTAATAATTTTATAGATGGTCTTGGTAATGTTCTCCGGCTGGTCCTCTCTCGGCATACAAATGATAAGAACGTAAAAAGATAAAAGAAATAAATGCGACCAGCTTCGTGGTTTTGTAACATGTATAACTGCTATTTTGAGGTATTCAAAAACCAAGACAGAAAAAATGATTGTAAAATTATTGCGTCATCAATGACAGCTTTCCTTCGCCTCAGAGACCAAAATTGACGCAGTCAAATGCCAATCCTTGTCAGATTGTCGGAAGTGCGCCAGTATTGTATTGCGTTATGTTTGGGCTGCATGGCAGTCAATATTTTGATTTTTTTTGTAAGGGAATTGGTGTGTTATTTTCGTAATATAGGGTGGAACAGAACATAGGATAGGTAATCAATGAATTTGCAGCAAATTTTGTTTAGCTGATAGCTCTTTTTTATGCCGACCAGACGCAAATAAAGTAACATGTGGCATTTGCTCTGATTTTCAACATCTCATTTAACCCGCGCCCCGTAGGGCTACCGGCGGACCCTACCACCCGTAGGGGGGGGGGGGGGCCGTTTCGGCCCCCCCTAAGATCTCGGAAAGTTACCGGCCGATTTTCAAAATTCAAACGGCGTTCGATAGCCCCACCCGGGAACTACCTTGTGACCAAATTTCATTGACCTAGGTCAAACCGATGACGTCACAGGTCAGGTCAAAGGTCAGATTTTCACCGTTCACAGGCAATTCAAGAAATGTGCTGTGAAAGCGAGTAAATTGGTAATTTATTGAAAACCATCGATGGTACATTGTTCGTCAAACACATACTTTGCTATCTGAGGTCACTGATACCAGGTCAGGTCACAGTGAGGTCAGGTCACCGGGGGTCACAATATGAATGTGTCGTGTGATACATGTTTTATGGTCCATTTTACATGACAAATGCGATTATGTGGGTTAGGCAGCCTTTGGGGCCAGCCTAGGTCACGTTTTTGTGAAGGTCAGGTCAAGGTCAGGTCAAATTAGGTTAAATTTCAAAGTTGATATTTTTGCATAAAATGGGTATCGATTCGATGCAGCTCGTCACGGGGAGTCTAATGGTGGTCTTCGTTTTGCTCTACGAGTTCTAGAATTGCCAAAAATTGAGTTTGAAAATTTGACGTCATCATTTTTGAGCAGTTTTTTCGCTATAACTTGGCCAAAAAACGAGGTATCGATCTGAAATTTGGTATGTAGATAGAAGACGGTAGGCACTATCACATATATTCCGGTTTTGTCGAAACTCAAAAAACTTTTTGGATTTTTTGGCGAATATATCCAAAAAAATGTTTTTTTGATTTTTGGGGGTCAAAACTCAAAAATTTCAAAAATTCGAGATAGCAGTTTTGTAGGCCTGTCAATTCTACACCTTTTATGTCTTGATCATTTTTATGTATCTTCAAAGCTGTAGTCCTGACAGGTCTTCTCGCGAAGGTCTTTTTTCGGTCGAAAATGACAGAACATGACGTCACTCTGACGTCATTTGTGGCCAACCTATCATAGCCTCTGGAAAAATTTTTGGTCACCATGTGTAAAATTGATGCCCGGAGGGGTCCTGAAAGTTTAGTGGCGATATCTCCAGCCGTTTAGGAGATATCGACCGAAAAGGACAGGGGGGGGGCCGTTTCGGCCCCCCCCTACGGGGCGCGGGTTAAGTCTGCGTTCTTCCATAATGTATATCTAGTGCACACTGCACATAGACTTCAGTTCAGCTTCCTATAAGTTTGCTTTTAGGTTCTTTTATGTTTTATGGAATGCTTTCATCAGCATTTATTTATGTTTTGTAGTTTGTTGCTTGTACCCTGGTTTGGTCATTGCTAGACTGTGGATGCTATTGCTGGTTGTTTTCAGTTTTGCATTTGAAATGTGCTTCCTTGATATATTTTTATATTTGGTTCTGATTTAAAAGTTGTTTTGATGAATATTGTATTGTTAACCTGAGCAAATGCACTTGGCATTGTGTTTTGCATCTAAAAAAGTAAAAAAATAAAATTTATAGGTTCTTAAGTCTGACCGCCAAATACCCGCCATACGATAAGTTTTGCTTCTCGAACCCGTCAAAAACCCTGCGGGTTTTGAAAACCCGCAGAAAGCGGGTTCGCGGGTTCAAAAGTGGCATCTCTATTGCACATCGAAGAGTGAAAAATCGCATAGGATATGTTACTACATTTTATGTAGGCTTGGAGAATGGACACTAATAGGTGCAGTGGGTGGCGATTTTGAGATATTCCCTTCGGAACTTTCCGCCCGAAACGGGTGCGTACATCTGCCTTTTGTGAAGTGGAATGTGATTGTCCCTCTCCAGCGCATCATGTTCATTGCTGAGGACGCGATAGAGAGCTGAGATAACTAAACACCCATTCCATGTTTCTCCTCCGTGCCGGCAGTCTGATCCTGATCATCGGCTCGTACGCGGCCATGTTCTTCAACATCCAGCAGACGCGGCGGAACACGCCGCTCGTGGTGAGAGAGGTGGAGGTGGCGCTGCGCTTCTTCTGCATCGTCGCTACCGACTGCCTCTGCTGGACGCCCATCGTGGTCACCAAGGTGCTCGTGCTCATCGGCGTCCAGATTCCCAGTGAGTTCAGCGACCGGCGCGGGAGTTTTTTTTTTATAGGCTGGGAGCTTCCAATGTGTTTAGAACGCTATAAGTTTTCTATGAGATTCGTTACGGAAGCGAGAGCCTTTTAGAGGACTGAGCGGGACGTATCTAGTGCTTCTGATGCAATGGTATTGATGGGCTTAGGCCCATATACTGCTGAGCCACCGGACTGGTTCTTTGTCCGATAAAATAAGGTAAAAAAAAAAAAACTTCGGAAGCCATACCCTCCACGTTACGAGTGTAATTACCAAATGCAGCAGACGTCACACGGAAAATAAAATATAAATATTACTTTTTCTAGACGCCAAATTAACTTTTGTGAACCATTGCAGGCGGAGCTCCAGATTACTTTTAAAAGAATGACTACATATATTGTTAAAGGGACTATCCCACCTTTAACATGGGGTTTGAGTTGAGATAGCCAAGTTTGCGGCGAGGTTCAGAAACCACTATCTATCTAGGTTGCAACCCCCGCGGGCGCGGCCTCTTGGTGTTGAAGAAATTCGTTCCCTTCATTTGAAAATGGGCCTTGTACAAGGCCCTATCTTCAACATGGAGCGACCGTTAGTGTGACGTCACCTCGTTTAGTCATTCTGATTTAAATGGGTTTGGTCGTTGAAAAATCGCTTAAAACTTGGTCTGAACTTTGTTGTTGTGCCTACAGAGTAAAAAGAATCAGCTTTATGACAGTAATGTGGCCTGGGGAAGGAGGTAATTTTGGGCTGTGACGTCACATATTTGAAAGTTTGTGTTTGGAATATGGGAAGCCAGATGTTTAATGAAAAATAAATGCCAGAACCGTGTTCCTGGTCATCCAATCTATAAAGTCGGGCACAATTTAACTGGTTTTAACAACATTTTAGAAGGTGGGATAGTCCCTTTAATATTGGGAAGCTAGTCGTTGCCCAACTACTGACCGTCTATGAACCCATGCAAACTTTCATCAATGAGTAGGTCCTCCAATTATGTATGCGATATCTATCTGAGGACCAGCCGCGTAGGCAGAATGAATCGGGAATCGTGAGAATGATCCTTACAGACAGAAAAGCAAGCGATACACGAACAGACTGAATCGTGCCGAGATTCGACTTTAGCTAGCTGTGCAGAGCCCCGGGGACCACCGTGGGAGGTGACGGAAGCCTTCTGATTTCCCAGCTGACTCGTGCCCAAATGTCACCCTCGACCTGGGACCGATCCGTGCTCCAGGTTTTAGCGTCTCAATCGGAGGTGCTGAAACGCATCACGTGATGATGCAGAGACGATGTGTAGTGCGATTGATCTGCTGACACCAATTCGCTGTCGGGAAGAATACAATTAATTATAAACCTCTGTACCTATACCATTCTCATAGGCATGCTCGTATACTGCAATTAAAGATCTCGAATTGCAGAGGTCTATGATTAAATCTGACACCTTGTGTGTGCCCGTTCCAGCTGAGCTTCACGCCTGGATTGTGGTATTCGTGCTTCCCATCAACTCTGCGGTGAACCCGTTCCTCTACACATTCACCACAACCAAGTTCTACAGCAGGATCAAGACGGTGACGACCAAGTACAGCAGCTGCATGCCCAAGGGTCCGCGCAGGGAGTCAGGTGGGTCTCGGCGGCATGGTTCTTTCATGAATATTTCGTCGTATTTCCGAGCTTTTATCTCGATGTTTTATCTGTTTACTACAGACATATTGATACGTGTTGATACATATTGTTTATCGCAGGTTCAAACGCCGTGACAAAATTTATATTAGTTGTGGAATTTTATCAAGGGCTAGAGAGGTGCGAGTTTGAGTGTTTATTTAATTACAAGAGAGTGACAAAGAGCTTTTGGTATTCACCACTGATCACAGAGGGATTCTTGCTTCTAGCAAAACAGAAATAGAACGGAGCTTTCATACCAGACAGACATTCTGCGTTCTCGAATGACAAATAAGTCATCAGCAGAGCTTATTTGCTACGCTATCACACGAAATATTATTTGTTGATTAGTGCTTCAGCGAAGCACGCTACAAGCGTTTCTTCCGGGGTGCCAATCTAGCACCGGATAGCGGCCCTAATTGCGGGCGGCGGTGCTCATTAGAGGTGCTCCGCGGCGCTCTCGTGGCTCGTGGCTGCCATCAGCGCCCACTGCACGGTCCACGGGGATATCATCGGCCGCGACACCCCTAATCCTCCGCTCCCCCGTCAGTGAGACGGCGACGACGCGGCGACGTGCGCCGCCTCGCCGCCGCCGGATACCGCCGGGAGCCCCCGCCCGGCCCCCTGCTGACGTCACACCCGACCCCCTGCTGACGTCATACGCTGTCTGTGCCGACAGTGAACAACACGGGATCGGAGAGCGTGGCGTTCACTCAGCGACACAGTCTGCAGGTGCTGCCGCCGACCGCATCAGAGCACCACGGTCCGTCACCCACGCCAGGCGACCCCCTGCTCGTGGCCAACAACGTGGCTGACTCCAAGTGCTAGAGCAGGGCACATAGGTGGCGGCCATGGAGGTTACAGGTCACCACGGAACGGAGTGCGAACGAGATTTGTCTGGGGGAGAGTTGTGTTGTGCATTTTTGGGCATAAGAGTGGTAGAAGTATGGAGTTGTTGCAATAAGTATTGTTGAAAAGAGCTTACAAGTACCTACCACCCTAGTGTAAAACAGTGTAGTTTTGGCTCAGTTTTTCTTAGATACAAGACCCACCACATATGACAGGAATGGGAGCGAATTTTCTCTGGTCTGTAGCTACGAGGGATGATTTTTTGACAGAGACCTGTGAGCATTTTCGAACATACATATGAAGGGGGAGCGAGGCAGCTGACAGAGATGAGGACGAGGCGGTAAATACTCATTTCATCAGAGACGTATTATCATGGCAAGGTAGTCATTGTCGTCCCTTTTATACTCATATTACTCATCCCACACTAAAGACACTCACATGGCTGATGATTGAGATAGAGCTGAGGCTGGTGTGGAAGCGTGTTGGTATCTGAGTGACGAGCGAAACAAACTAGTGTCAGAGTGAAGTGTAGATGTGCACAACTATGGTCCCAGCGTCGTACAATCATCATTTTTTACAATATGCATACTGCATACGTAGTTGACGTAGTTACGCATTGTGAGCTTATTGTGTAGACCTATTGCAAGATGTGCTATGTCATTTTCCAGCTTAGTTTTAGTAAGCAGTACGCATTTATAATGCGTGATTCAACGTTTTCATTCATTACGCTTTAAGCCATCATCATACTTAGAATGAAGGCACGACTGCTTTGTATGCTTTGTATTTTACCTTGTTTTCTGTACACATTTTCCAAGCGCTTCATCTGCATTAGCGCTTGGCATCTAGACCGCACAGTTACGGGTGCATTAAATTGGACGCATGATACTTGTTAAGGTCATCGGAAGACCTTTTTTTCTCGTGTCACCCGAGCGAGCTTCTGTTGTGTTCTATGTAATGTAGTGTTGTGGGGATTGGGGATACAAGAAGCTGACGGAACTTTGTGCCGAAGTGAAGCGAACCGCGTCGCTGTCGCCACCAGGCGGCCGCAATGGTAAGCTCTTGTTGCGTACATTGACGCCGCCGGCAGCACCTGCCACCGAGCTCCTGACCCGATGGGGCGTACTGTGTAGTGTGCAGCCAGCTCAGAACATTGTTTGAGAGTCGGATATCGAACATCATTCAGAGAGTCAGGATATCCTTCTGCTCCGATTTATTCATGTCCACATACGTGAAAGATATAGCACAGTGTCAGACAGTCCTATCTTCTTACCGTGTGCGTCGTGCACTTCAAAAACACGGGCTGACTGGACTTATCGCCCCCAAAACGCCCAGTATCCATTAGCGTACTAAGCTGGCTTCATCCAGCGGACCAACCCAACCCACAGCAGCTTGTAGTCGCGTGTCAATTGTGAGGGTTGGCGGGTGACTCGATGTCCTTCATGTTTATAGATCGATGGCCCAGACGCTGATCTTACGTGTGCCTGGCTCAAGAGTGAATGTGCAATGTGCGATGTGTTTGTCACAAATTTAGGCTTGTGTATTTGTAACCATGTGTGAGATACCTACTTAACTGTGTTTCAAAAATTCTGACACAAACGCGAAAATTGTGACACAAATGTGGTACATGCTGCACAAATCTTGGCGGCTGTTGTACAGAACAACTGTTTCATGTACCATTCTGTCGTAGCTGAGTGACCGTAGGCGTATTTTTTTGTGAGGTGACCCTGCCGGACATGGTTATCTCCGGGTCTCTAATGTGTGTGCCCGTACCTGTGTGAGAACTGAGATCTGCCCTGGGTAAATGTACTCAGTGTCATGTATTGACCCAAAACTACCCAAGAAGCGTCCCAAGGCCAGTGTATACGTTTATTTTGTTTTTCGCGTGTAAATCAATGTCATCAACTGAAGGTAAATATAAGACATCGTATGTGACAGGATTATTTATGTACAAAAGTCGAAAGACGAGAACTCTTTTTCACTCGTTGACATCTTTAAAGATGCTGACAGCAAGGCTGAACGCAATGACCGCGATTCGCGATCCATTCAGCGGTGTGGTGGCCTGATAAAATTATCAAAAAACACGCACAATGGTGCACTTTACCTATCCCGCCGGTGAGCTCCCATCAGGTTTGTGCGGCCGATATATCGGAGGTGGGCGGTCTGACCTCTGGGTCGCCGCCCTGGGGCCCGGAGGCTGTGGCCGGCCGCGGATCCGTCCCTGGTCGCTTGGTGTGCCGCTCAGCGGCCGCGTACAGGCCTGTGAAGCCGATAGCTGTGGCCACCAGTGCTGACGCCACGGCGCCGTAGCCGACCTCGACCCACCAGCGCAGCTCGACGGGCTGCTGGCCGGCCGGCGCCGCCTCCAGCTGGGCGCGCACCGCCGCCACACAGCAGCCGGCCGCCAGCTGCGTCAGCACGTGGAACGTGCCGTGCGAGTGACCCAGTACGTCCCAGCGGCCGGGCCAGCGGCGCTCCGGCCAGCGCGAGGCGTACACGCAGACGGCAGAGGCGGCGCAGAGGGCGGCGGCCGCGCGCAGCGGTGACCAGCTGCCGGCCGCGGCCGACCACAGGAACAGCACCGCCTGGCCGCGCAGCCGCAGCCGCTGGCCGCGGTGCTGGCACCGGCTCAGCCGCGACCAGCAGGCGGCCGCGCAGCCCAGCAGCGCCAGCACCGCGGCCGTGGGCAGCAGCACGCCATCCAGCCAGCGCTCCTCGCCTCCCCCGCTGCCGTAGGCGTGCTCCGCCATCGTCATGGCCAGTCCGAGGAGGGTGATCCCCGCGTAGTCCAGACCGTAGAACAGTTGCGCCACCGCCGGCGAGACGGCCGAAAAGCCGTGCGCCAGGAACGACGCCAGCGATGACAGAGCGATGGAGAGGAGCAGCAGGTGGTAGGGCCGCGGGTCGGCGCCGTTCTGAGGGGGTGTCGAGCGCAGTAGCTGCCACAGGTACCCCAGCGCCGGCAGCAGAGCCGACCACGAGTTGAACAGCTCGTTGGTGGGTAGGAGCAGCGCGCGCAGGCAGAGCGCGAACGAACCGGACGGCAGGTAGCCGCCCGTGATGTCTGCGAGGGGCGAGAGAGAAACAAGGGTGAGAAACATCGTTGATAGTTACAACTGCCTGAATTGAGGAAGAAAGCCAAGCTAATGAGATGTCACTGGAGATATTTTCTGAGTAAATACCTACTGCATTCATACTGCGTTGCTGCATGCCCCGCATCAGCATTGATTGATTTTGTACCCTGAACTCATAGAAGCAATCTTTCTAGCGCAAGATCATATGCGGCTAGCAACAAGCCCCAATTGAATGTCTATTCACGTCGAATTTGTTCACTGACCAATAATGAATGTCCCCGTATCTAATCAATCATCAATGTTCTCTATGCGGCACATAATGCATTCTAGGAATATCCACTGAGACATGACCACGGCCTTCATAGCAACAGCTCACATCGGTCCCCGTAAATAGCTCGCTGTACTCACAGGGCTCCCGGCGCATGGGCTCCACTTCTGTGTCGCTCAGGAGGCGCACGGTCGGCTGGACTGACCACTTGTCGTCAGTGACGGCCAGCAGCCAGTGCGGCAGCGCCAGCCGCCGGTGACTGCGCCGCCGAGCCGCCGTGTCCAGCTCAGAGGCGCTCTCGGTAGTCCAGCGCTGACGCTCGCCGGTCGTCGGCGCCGTCTCAATGTTGGGCGCCGACTCCATTGTTGGTACTTGGTGGTCACAGTGGCTGCCGCTAGCCACGGCGTCCCGTTTGACTCGCCGGTCAGAGACAGAGGCCGCCGTCCGAGGCGCGTCGAGTTCAGGTGTTAGGGATGCACAATGCACATGCATCGGCCGCCGGCACCCCACGGTTGACCAGCGCAGCTGAAAACAGCGGGAGAACGCACTTGTATAATTTGCATAAAATAGTAACGATCTACATGTAACAGATGGATATCAAATATAAAAGCTGAATTTTGTACAAATTAATAATTTTCGAGCGAAATACAGAATTTGACTAATGCATTACTGATAAATTTAGGCTACCTGCTATTTCAGGTGAGAAAATAATAATACAGGTGGTGTTCCAAATGAAGGTGATCAAGTTGTTAGACGGTTTCCTTGGGAACGAAAAACTAGCTTCGACTACCTCCACTTGAAATGCTCAACTCAACCAGCATTACATACATAAGTCGCATGAACGCAATAACAGAGGCCATTTAAATGTCAACACAAAACAAAAAAGTAACATTCTATACCACTCACCTCTCGCTCACAGTATCCCAACACAGATGTATCCCCAGAAGACCACAGCGGCCGAAATCCACCCAGGCCGTCAGCCCGCACTGAATGGGGCGCGTCCGGCTGGGCCGGGCCGAGGCAGGATGTCGGCGCGGTCTCTCTCACTCCGGTGTCATCCCATGGGCCGGATGGCAGCCACCGCTATACCAGAGTCCGATTCCCGGCCCAGACAATCGGTCGTTACTGGGAACTATCGGCTCAGGTGTATGGACTACTCAACGGCAGCCGTATGTGTCGAGATTGAAATAAAAATATTTAGTTTTTCCTTCTGTTACAGGTACTAAAACGCCTGTAGGTATACCGGCACTCAAAAAGACATAGCAACTGGTATGCTCATGTTTGTATTTGTCGCATAAAATAACGCAAATGAAGATTATAACGTCACTAATCGCTTGATCTATGTAAAGCTCTTCATGCCCACTATCATCCAGTGAACAGTGTGGTTCAGACGAATCAGGTTGAATGATATTGCCGTTTATCAACATCCATCAAATATGTATTAAAACGGACCAATAGGTTTCATGTAAATCAACATTTTATTTAACGCAACCAGTTTCAACGTTGAAGTGCCGCGCGGTGGGATTAAAGTCATGTCACTTCTTGGAATCGCTACTAGCCTACTAAAAGACGAAATACACGAAGCAATGGCTGAACCACTGTCATGTTTTATGACCTCACATAACACTAGCTCACCGTGGCAAACCAGCTGAGCTCCGGAGACTTAGCTGTCTTCCAACTGTGACTGTCAGGTAGATAACTAGGTAACTCTACAAACACACTGCATACCCTACGGGAACAAATACGAAATAATTGATGAAATAAATAGCCACCGTCGGCGCTGTTAGACAAGCCGGACGATTATAAATATGAGTACATCAACAACAACGAACAACAATGTCACGTATTCCAAGCCGCCCAAGAACAAGAATCAAGCGGCAGAAGCGCAAGCGCGTTCAAAGGAGCACATCCAAGAACGCCTCAGAACAACCAGTGGGTCAGAAGCGCCAGCCAGGAGCGACTGTCCCTATCATTCAGCAACACACAGTCTGCCCGTCTGTCACCACAGTCTGTCATTTCCTGTCATCACAAAGTCAGTCTGTCAGCTCACCACGATCACAAGTCACCTTTGGCATCCATCAACTTCCACTCCGCTAAGACTTCACGGGCTCAGACTTTACTTATCAGTTATCTCCCTGCCTCCGGTCCCCCGCCACAGCCAGTTCCAACCTCCCTGATCTCCCCATCACCTCAAGGCGATCATCACTATCACACTCATCCCTCCATCACAGCCAACCTATCAGGCTTCCTCAGTCCATCCACCCTCCTCACCCAACGACAGTCGCACCAGAGAGCGGCAGCGCAGCCCCGCGAGAGTCCCTCTCTTCGACAGAGGCTGAGGGGAAGGTATCGGCTCCGGCGGGGGGCGAGGGGTGTCCCCCGGCCTCCTCTGCCACAGCCGGCGACAGCAGGGAGTCGGACAGCTCCATCTGGCCTGGGTAGCCGCCGTCGGCCCCCTCAGCGCCACCTGGCTCGCTGACCGGGGCACCTGCGGTCGGGCGGTGGAGGTGAAGGCGGCGGGTCAGAGGGAAGGGAGACAGAGGATGGGACGGGAATGGGATGGGGTGGGATGGAAGGATATCGGAAGAGACGAGGAAGGGACTGGATGAGACTGAGACGAGAAGAGGAAACGATGGGACGGAATGAGACGGGAGGAGACTAGAAAGGGATAAGGAGATGGGGTTATGAGGGAGTGGTCCGTTCCGTCGTTACCATCCTCAGTTCAATCATTCTCCTCCACGCCTCAATCCCCTGCTCCGGGCTGGACGGGCGGCTTTAGCCCATGCGGGAAGCTCTTATCGGAGCACACCCGTAGCCGGGTGCAGTGAGTGTAATGGGGGCTGGGCGGCCTGTCCTATTGGATGGGCTCAGCCCAGGTGACTCACTAGGGTGCCTGCCCAGACCAATGTCTTCCCCTAATTCCTGCCATCCTCCCGGCTCTGAAATGGTCTCGTGAGATCGAAAGGGCGTAACCTAACAAAACAAACAAACAGAGTGGAAAAGGAAACGGAGCATGTAAGGATCACGAGCTGAGACGGGACGAAGGGAAAGGGCGCGTCGGAGAAGGGAACGGGAAAATCAATTATGATGCAGGTTGCGATTGCATGAATGGGAGCACGGATGTTACCGAAAATAAAGGTAAGACATCTATACGAATACAAAGTAATGGATGAATCACAGAAACTAATCAAATTGGATGTCTGTGCCTGGTTACCTGACTTGACTACGATCCCATTAGCCATAATGGCGGAGGGACTCAAGAGTAATAATAAACGAGACGTTTTCCTGCGACTTAAATCACTCGTAACAAAAAAGCACAGGCACCAATTACGCAGAAATGTGACCAAGTAGATGCATTTGACAAGCAGTCTTGTTTACCCTAGATGAGCCGCAAGTCCGATATACGGACATCGATATAAGATAAAATCAGTATAGTCAAAACCAATAGAGCGTTAAACCAGACAACGATTCAATTACGTTTTCTAAAATGATCAATCTCTTTGGTTGGGTAAGGACCAAGCGGAATCTAGATGCGACTCGATCCTAATTGGCTGCTTAGCGACCTGTCACGTGACCGGAGTGACCCATGACTGACGGTCGATCAGCTGTTTGTCCAGCCAGTCGGTAGTTACACATACCGTGGTAATTTTGTAAACACATCCCAGCCAGATGACAGACGAATAACAAAGAGCAATTAAGAACAAGCTGAGAGGTTGTCCTACCATCCAAAAACCAGCTGATAGACCAGCTGACCAGGACTGACCAGGACTGACCCGAGGACTGACCTGGGGGCGACAGGTCGGACAGGTAGGCCACACCAGAGTCGTCGCTGACCACCTCCTCTTCTGGAACACACAGCCGACAGACGGGTGGCAGACGGTGCGGCCCGAACGGGCCTGTGGAAGTCATAGACAGAGGTCATCAGGAGTCAGGACATTAAGCTCGCATCAGGCGGTGCGAGATTCGAAATCACGTGAGTCCAAGGTCACGACATTAACGCATTGAGGTTTTGCAGAGTCAAAAGAATACCAGAGTCAAAAGTCAGAGTCAAATTCACTGCCCGGCAACCCCAGCGAAGACGGCGGCGGGACTGGCAGTGAATCTGACGGCAGACCGCTCGGTCTCACCGGCCTCAGGAACACGGGCAACACCTGCTTCCTGAACACAGTCGTCCAGTGCCTGAGCAACACACGCGCTCTCCACGATTACATCCTGCGCGATGGACGCTCCTCAGATGCCAGCATGCCTGCCGCCGCTACGAAGGGGTCCCTCATGAACACATTCAGCGCCCTGATACGCGACATGTGGACATCCTCGGACGAAACGGAGCGGGTGCTCACCACCGCACCACTCAAGTCGATGATCCAACGGCTCGCGCCACGCTTCATGGGCTCTCAGCAGCAGGACGCGCAGGAATTCCTCAGATATCTGCTGCAGGGACTTCACGAGGACGTGAACCGGGTGACGAGCCGGCCAAAGCCGATCACGACCGACATCGACGACTCACTGAGCGCCAGTCAAAAGTCAATGGAGGCCTGGAAACGTTTCTTGCGCCTGGAAAACTCCAAGTTTGTTGACCTGTTCGTGGGCCAGCTCAAGGCTACCCTGCGGTGCACGGTATGTGGCCACGCATCGGTTACCTTCGACCCGTTCTGGGATCTGAGTCTGCCAATCCCGTCACGAAGTGGCCAGGTGCGCCTACAGGCCTGTTTTGACCTGTTCACCAAAGAGGAGGTGCTCGATGGCGACGAAAAACCGACCTGCTCAAAGTGCCAGAAGCGCCAAAAGTGCACCAGGAGCCTCTCGATCCAGAAGTTCCCTCGTATCTTGGTGGTCCACCTGAAGCGGTTCTCGCCGCAGGAGAGGTTCCGCGGGAAGCTGAACACCACCGTCGACTTTTCGGTGAACGGCCTGGACCTGTCGCCCTACTCGGCCGGACAGACGCCCTGCCGGTACAGCCTATACGGCGTGGCGAACCACTCTGGCACGCTGCTCTCAGGACATTACACCGCTCACTGCCGACACCCGTACACGGCAGAGTGGTACGAGTACAACGACTCGCGGGTCCACGTGATGGACCAGAGAAACGTCAACAGCGGAAAGGCTTACGTGCTGTTCTTTGAGCTGGCCGGCTCGAAACACCGCTCCGGCTCGACCCACGTCTAGTCATCCAGTCACGGGAGAGGAGCCTGCGATCGTCACCCGCTCGGGCCCTGTGTAGTCACACCGACCGGCGCACATTCTGCTCGGACAACTCTAGCCAGCGGCCTATTGTGATTCGTGATATTGCGTGTAAGGTGTTGTGAAAAACCAGAACAGCCTTTGGATCTCACTGAAAACATTGGCAAAGAATACCAAGAGAAGCTTAAATATAAAAGGTAGATGCTTCCATCACTACGTCCCTCACTTCCTTTCTTCCCCTCCATTTCGGTCCCCAGTCTACCTTCTCTCCCCCTCCACCACGACCCTGATTCTGCCGCCCCCTTCGTCAGGACACGTACCGAGCACGATGTCAGGGTTCTGGTACTCTCTGAACGCGCCGCTGTGGTGGTCGGGACGCGTGCGCTGCCACACCGGGTGGTGGGGGCGGATCGACATTACCTGTGTAGGAGACAGAGTTAGCTGCAGAACAATGGGACATGACTGTGCCCAATCACACAAGGATGAAGGAACCTCAATTCGCAGCTGGCACGTATATCGTGGTAACAACATAGAAAAGGTATTCGTTCAGAGATGTGTTGGTTTTCAGGGTGCGTCCAGTCCAACTGACAACTGTAGTCTAACTTTTGAGAATAAAAAAAAAGATTACGTTAGCCCTTATGGAGCTAAGAAGGTGAAGCTCGCTTCTAATTCCGCGTCAGACCGCCAAGACCTATGTTTAAAATATTGGATGGTGATTTGTTAAACCGGTAA